ATTCACAAAGCACAGCGCTACTCACGCATGCTCAGTTGGCACCCAGCTGTGAAGCCGTAAGCTGTCACATCCATGTGCCCACACTGAAGATGCCGGAGCTGAGGAGGAAGGATGGTTGGTCTACCCAGCCAGTGTGAGGACACCGCAGGACCGAGGGACAGGTGAGTGTCTGTTTTTTAAAAGTCAGTAGCTACAGTTTTGTAGCTGCTGACTTTATTATTTTTAAATTCCCACTGGACCTCTGCTTTAAGCATTTACATTTACATGGATAACTTTTATCTTTTAGTTCTCACAAGAGTTGGTTCTGGCCAGCTCAGTGGATTGCTTCAAAAAATGCCTGGATTGTTTCTTAGATACACAGAATATAACTGGATACTAACATTTATAGGTAAAGTTGATCCATGGAATATCTGATTGCCTCTTGGGGGATCAGGAAGGAATTTTTTTCCCTGCAGGAGCAAATTGGATCATGCTTTGCTGGATTTTTTTGCCTTCCTCTGGATCAACTGTGGGTATAGGATTATAACTTTTTTTTTTTGGTTGAACTGGATGGACTTCTGTCTTTTTTCAGCCAGACTAATTATGTAACTGTATATATATTCTTGGGTTAATTAAGTTTAACTGGTGTTAACTTAGTTCCCACGTTTTACAATTGGCAGAATCCTTGGGTCCAACCCACTGCTGCTATGGCTATAAAAAGGGACAGTGGTCTGGAGTTGGCTGCCTGGAGAAAGAAGTAGATTCCCTAAAATTCCCTTGGAGAGGTTCGGGAGTCTTGTGGCTGGTCCATCAGTCATGTTCCGTGGAGGGTGCAGCCACCTAAGAACCCACAAGATGTTAGAGCCATCCAACCTGCAGGTTTGCCCTGAAGAATCCAGCTGCTGGGGAATGCCACTGTTGGACCTGAATGCACATGTACTCTACTTTTGCAAGTGTTCCAAGACAGCACTTAAGCCTGAGTTAGGATCAAGGATTAGGCACAAGGAAAGTGACTGTTCTGTGTGATCTTTGAACTTTGTATGGACTGTTTTCCATTTTATACAGTAAAGTGTTGAAACTTTGCCTTCTGTCTGGTCTGAATTCCTTTAAAAGGGGTACATTGAAAATAATTGGCACTACAGATCTGGGTCACTAACATATTGGGGTATGAAGAGTCAGCATGTTACGAGTTATCCAAGTGCAAGTTTTACATGTGGATGCCATAAGCAACAAAGGTAAAGTCAGCAAGCAGCATGTTGGAAACGTGTACTTCTTATGGGTGGAATTGTCTCTAGCTGTGAAGGGCATGTTGTCAGCATTCCCTACGCCACATTTTGTCACCCATAGCAAGCAGAGTGGAGCTGCATTGCAAAGGTCCCCATCCTGTACTGAGGTATGAATGTTCAAGAGTTAAAGTCAAGTGCACGCTGGAGCCCATGCTATGTGCATGATGGGGTTCCATGCTGCTACCAGGATAGGTAGTGGGAAAAAACTGGACAGTGTTCAGCACTGCCTGCCTAATTGCAAGCTACAGCGGAAAAATGTACATTTACAGGGGGACCCGAGAGTTAACTGGAAAACAATTGTTGTGCAAGTGAACATGGTGTACTTTCTTCTCTAATAGTAAAGGCCCGCCTTAGGGTCGAGTATTCCATGACGGCAACCTCAGCCTTGTCCCAGGGCATTAATGAAACGGCACGAGAGTAAATGTACCCCATATCCCCATATGTGCGAAGTAGAGTGATCCTATTACAGGTGTCCTATGTAGCCCAGAAGAACCCTCACTGGGGGTAGTCCTCTCATGCGGCCCACACTTGGCACCCAACGATTTAATGGGGAACATGGTGGAAGGTCCACCATCACCCACCTACTCCTTCCCTCTACACGCCCATTTAGGAATATGCTGCATTGTTTACCTTCCAGCCAGAGATTTCCCCCATGGTAATTTTTTTTTGTTTTCTGCTGCTAGATGTCCCTGATCTGATGGACAACATCCTTCAACCCATTTCATCCAAGCCCAGATCATCCTGAAACTAACCCATCCTGTTACTGGACAGTCAATGGAGAAGCACCGTGACAAGCCCATCTCTCTGTTACTTTGCTTTCTCCTACTATCAGCATGCTTCTTGTCCACACATGAACTAATTGGCTTCTCCTGCTGCTTGTTCCAATCACACTCTAGATAAGCTGCACAGGGACTGCAAGAGGATAATACCAGGTCAAATTCAACCACTTACATTGCTTATATTTGTAAAAAATACATGACTTTTTGACTAGGGCACATCAGGTCTTGAGGCTGGACATGTATGGAGTCTAGTTACTTGACAAAACTTAATGTTTTATTTTGTACAAAAAGTGGGGTTTAAATTGTGTTTGTGTGTTTATTTCTGAAATTATAGATTTGATAAACAGTTGCACAGATATCATGCAACATAGAAAATCTAGCGGTTGTATTTTTTTTTATGTACAGGGCCTCTGCATTTAGAAAATCTACAGTGTTCCAGGGGCTTTAAGTAATTTTCTCACCAAAAAATTATATAACATGAAAAAAAATTGCTTCAAAGGGCAACTGGTTAAAGTCTAACTCCATGTTTCATTTAACTTTTAGGCCTCATGCACACTGGGCATTTTTACAGCTACTGTTTTTGGCTTTGGACATTTTTTTCTAAAGCCAGTTAACTCCCCAGCATGTTATCCTATGTGTTCACGCACACATAGGCTTTAATCAGCATTTTCTGGCAGGGACATTTTCTGGCTGGAAACGAAAACAGATCTAGTGGGTTTCAGGAGAAGTTTTTTAGCTGTAAAAACGCTCTAACGCTGGTAAAGGTGGTAAAACGAGGCAAACTGGCGTTTTTGAGCGTTTTGTTTGAGCCAAAAATATGCTAACACAGAAAAATGCAGCAAACTACGCTAAACGCTAATGCAAAATGCTAAGAATTGCAGAAAAACTTGCATTTTTAATGTGACTTCACACAGCTAACGCTACTGGCATTTTTAAATGCCCAATGTGCATGAGGCCTATAGTTTGCTTGGGCAAACTGGTCCAAATAAACTATTTCTATTACTACACCTACATACAGTACACAGTGCCGTGTTCCTCTCCAGGTGTAGGTAGGGCCTAAGTGGTGCTCCCGAACTATTGGAAGAATCACAAGACAATAATGTGGAAAGCAACAAAACAACAAGGCAATGAATTTCCAAAAGAGCGCGAGGTTTGTTATCAGCTGCAGCTGGGAGCAAGTTCAAAGAAAGAGGGCATGCAGGCCAATCCTACAACAATGACAACACTCAACAGACAGTTGTTAAGGTATAATAGTCCAGTATAGCCTTGGCACCTTGTAAGCTGTGAAGTACACAGTTTTCTTACCTGCAGAATACTGGTAGGGAGGTAGACTTAACTTAGTAGTGTTATAAACGTACAATACCACAGTGTCCAAGGAGTGCTCCATTGGAGGGGTGGTGATGAAGTCAATAGACAATGGTTTCCACTAGGCCTTTGGGGTATATGACAGCCATTAGCAATAGAAATAAAGTGAAAAGGTAACCTGCATGTCCCTACTCATCCATAAACCTGTTCCTCTATCTTCATTTGCGCTTTTCTTAACCAGCAGGGTTCTTCCCTGCCTTCTGCTTCACTTCGGGTGCACCAAATGATGTTGGCCCATATGTTTTGTAAGGACCTCCAAACAAACTATTTAAAGTGAAATGAAACCTGAAGTTAGGCTTTAGTTTAGGTAGAGTACCCAATTTTAATATACATTGCATAATGTTGTACACCATAACATCTTCAGTCCTTCGAGAGCTGCTGCAGTGTTCTGGAGCTCATGTCTGGTGTTACCCTAGATCGAGTCTATGATGGGTGAGGGAGATGCTCCCAGAATTCTCCAGGCTTTCCAGTTGAATTCCCAGCTGTGTCCGTCAGCTGTACACCTCTCATTCTTCGAGTCTCTGAACAGTTATAATCGGGTCTAGTCAAGCCACTGAATCCCTATTATAACAGCAGCTGGACGTGGCTTCCCTTTCAGGAAAAAGAAATGGTTTAAGAAGCTGGCACAAGATGAATCATGACAGAAGAGCCTGTGTTCCGGATAGGAATTCAATGTATGGGACATACACTTTATGTATAGGGATTGGCTGGCTTGGGACTAATAATTATCCTTATGATACAAGCTATGCAGCTGATACAATTACATAAACTTAAGATGATGCCGCTCTCTCTGCACATTCTTATTACATAGCGTTAACTCTCAATGGCTTCAGGCCAATACAGATCTTATACAAGACCCACCTAATCTCAAACTAGGCCCAGTGTGGGTTTTTTAAGTGGTGTTAAACTAAAAAATAATATATATATATATATATATATATAAATATATATACACAAACACACACTATTTTGCCAAAAGAATTGGGATGCCTGCCTTTACATGCACATGAACTTTAATGGCATCCCAGTTTTAGTCTGCAGGGTTAAATAATGAGTTGGCCCATCCTTTGCAGCTATAACAGCTTCAACTCTTCTGGGAAGGCTGTCCACAAGGTTTAGGAGTGTCTATGGGAAGGTTTGACCATTCTCCCAGAAGCACATTTGTGAGGTCAGGCACTGATGTCGGGGGGAGAGGAGGCCTGGCTCTCAGTCTCCACTCTAATTCATCCCAAAGGTGTTATATCGGGTTAAGGTCAGGACTCTGTGTAGACTAGTCAAGTTCCTCCACCCCAAACTTGCTCATTCATGTCTTTATGGACCTTGCTTTGTGCAAAGTTGGGAGCATGAAATTGTCCAAAATGTCCTGGTATGCTGACACCTTAGGAGTTTTCTTCACTGGACCTAAGGGGCCAAGCCCAACCCCTGAAAAACAACCCCACACCTTAATCCTCCCTGCAAAAAATGTTATACTTGGCACTATACAATCAGGCAAGTACCGTTCTCCTGGCAATCGCCAAACCCAGAAATGTCCATTGGATTGCCAGACAGAGAAGTGTGATTCACCACTCCAGAGAACATGTCTCCACTACTCTAGAGTCCAGTGGTGGTGTGCTTTACACCACTGAATCCGATGCTTTGCATTGCACTTGGTGATGTTAGGCTTGGATGCAGCTGTTCTGCCATGGAAACCCATTCTATGAAGCTCTCTACACACTGTTGTGCTAATCTGAAGGCCATGTGAAGTTTGGAGGTCTTTAGCTATTGACTCTACGGACAGTTGGTGACTTCTGCGCACTGTGTGCTTCAGCATGCGCTGACTCCGCTCTGTCATTTTACGTGGCCTATCACTTGGTGGCTGAATTGCTGTTGTTCCCCGTTCCTTCACTTTGTCACTTTATTATAATACCACTAACAGTTGACTGTGGAATATTTAGTAGCAAGGAAATTTTACAGATGGACTTATTGCACAGGTGACAACCTATCATGGTATCACGCTTGAATTCATTGAGCTCCTGATAGCAACCCATTCTTTCACAAATGTTTGTAGAAGCAGTCTGCATGCCTAGGTGCTTGATTTTATACAGCTCTGGCCACGTAGGTGATTGGAACACCTGAATCCAATGATTTGGAAGGGTGTCCCAATACTTTTGGCAATATAAAGTATATACAGTATATTGCAGCATGCCTATACTTAGATGTGATGGCTGCACTAGTTTTATTTTTTTAGGCTTTTTTTTCTTTTTTATTTACCTGGTGATCCTGCCAGTTAGTCTGTTATGATTCAGCTTAATTTAAGAGATCAAGCTGTCCTGCAAAAGTAACACGACACACCACAGCCCTTACAATGGTCATCAACTAAATTATTTTAAAAAAGAGTTTAATATTACCCTAAACATGCAAATAATTAATTCACAATAATAAAAATACAAATATTTGATTAAAGTCAACTTTTGATAATACTACCATGTAAATTTAAAATATAGAAAGGATTATATATTTTAAAAAGCACGCATGTTTCTAGGAGAAATGTTTCCCAGGTTGCAGAATCTTCATCAAGTTGGACAAAATGTTATCCTGTCTATGACCCTCTTAACACTATAAAGTGGTTCTCCAGCCTCCTGTAAAAAAATGTACAAAACTGTAGCTGCTGAATTTCAAAAATCAGTCACTCACCTGCCCAAGGATCCAGCAATGTGCTCACCTCAGCTGTTCTTTCCAGCTGTGTCCTGTCCCAGGAGCCGGCATCTTAACTGTGGGCACCCAGCTATGACAGCTTGTTGTACATGTGCGAAGTAGCACTGCATATTGTGAATGGTCCGGCAGTCTTCTGGGACCAGTCACATGTCCCAGAAGACTTTGGGGAGGGGGGAACTTCCGCTTCCAAACACCTATGCAGTCCGAGCGTAATTGGGAGCGGGTACCTGTCAAACTCAGGTACATGCTCCCTCATGCTCCCATAAAGCGTCAACTTCTTTACCAGGTGCGGGGAAGCAGGCCTTAAAGTGGAACTTCCTCTTTTGGGTGGAGCTTCACTTTAAGTGTGAACTCCAGGCAAACAGCTAAACAAACAATTGACACATAGATGGGAGCTTTTGTATCTATCAAAGAATTTGTATGTTTGTCCATTTCCTGAGATTTGCACAGCCCTGCCAAATAGGACACCCAGTCTGGTGATCTGAGTCATGCCATTAAGCAATATAACCTGGTCAACTCCCAACCCCAGCCTGTAATTGAACAGTGAAAGAGCAGCAGCAGACTGACATCATCTCTCTGTTCTTCTCTTGTCAACATGTACCTAGTCAGTGAATGCAGGACACATAATAAAAATAATTATTAGATTTCAGTTGTATGTGAAATACATTTAATAATTAAGAGCCCATTTAGATACAGTATATGCATATGTATATTAGGCAGGTATGTTGTCATGCACCAACATACAGTACGTTTCATTTGTGTGTTGACATGCATTTTGACACATGTTTACAAAGTGTATTTGATTTTAGACCAAGGCATGTCAAAACTTGTTGCAGAGAATAGTGCTGTGAAGTTTCAGTACCCAGACTGTTTGATGAGTCCAGGGGGTGTGTCATTGACAATCTGGGCTCAAAAGAAATGGTTGGATGACATTAGAACACGCTTGGAAGGGGTTGGTTGATGTTGGGTATCAATTCCACTTGGAAGGGGTTGGCTGATGTTGGCCATCAATGCCACTTGAAAGACATTGGCTGATGTGCATCAATGCCACTTGAAAGACGCTGGCTGATGTTGGCCATCAATGCACCTGAAAGGGTTTGGCTAATGTGCATCAATGCCACTTGGAAGGGGTTGGCTGATGTTGGGCAGCAATGCCACTTGGAAGGGGTTGGCTGATGTTGGGCATCAATGCCACTTGGCAGGAGTTGGCTGATGTTGGTCATCAATGCCACCTGAAAGGGTTTGGCTAATGTGCATCAATGTCACTTGGAAGGGGTTGGCTGATTTTGGGCATCAATGCCACTTGGAAGGGGTTGGCTGATGTTGGTCATCAATGCCACCTGAAAGTGTTTGGCTAATGTGCATCAATGCCACTTGGAAGGGGTTGGCTGATGTTGGTCATCAATGCCACCTGAAAGGGTTTGGCTAATGTGCATCAATGCCACTTGGAAGGGGTTGGCTGATGTTGGGCATCAGTGCCACTAGGAAGTGGCTTTGCAGGGACTGAGAGCTTTGGACAGAAAGAACAGTGCCAAAAAAAAAGCGATAAAATGGTGATACAAGATGAAAAACGCTGAAGTTGGGCTATAATGGACATACAACAAACAGCTAAATAGTTATGTGCATATCTGTCTGGCCATTTAAAAAATCTATTTGCAGTGATATGAGAGAGAACGAAAGGGTTTAATGGGATTTAAAAAAAATATTAAAACATAAATACTTCCAAGAATCTAATCCACAGAGGTGGACACTGCCCAAACTTTATGATGTAAATGTGGTTTTTTGTCTTGTGGGTTTTGGACCGCCCTGGTTTCCGTGTCATTAGAGCTTATACGGAAAAGCACTCAGTCCTGGTAAATGAGAAGGTAAATGTCATTTTCAGATTTGAAGTTTTTCTGAGTTGTTGTGTGGTAAATATAGTCCTGAAGGGAAATGTGTACAATAAAATTTTAATCTTTTATAAGCGGAAAACTAGACATGAAACCATTAAAAGTGAATTTCAGCTTGTGTTATGTGATTTTAAGCAATATTTTTAGAGGTATAAAATGGATTACATCACTTTTTAAGTATGATCTGCTGTCTTGAAGCTGTTAACCTATATTCTGAAGGGTGAGAAGTTCTGAAGCAGGTATGTAAAACTTAAATGAAGGAGATGATTGAATTAAAGTGAATATCAGAACAGAATTTGTTTTTGCTAGTTTGGAGTACTAATGGATTAAATGTCCTGACAGGCTTGTACTGCTATCTAGGGATCCTTAAGAGAGATTTACCCTCACTTCCTGTTCTACAAACAATGTTTTTTTTTCCTGTCTAGTAAAAGGTTGTCATCAGGATAGGAAGAGAGGGCACATCTCTTTAACAGAGCCTGGATAGCAGCAATAACCTAGCAGAGGTTCTAATCCTTCCTCACTCTATTCAGAACTAAGGAAGAAAGTTTTGACAGGATAGAGCATGCACTTTACTTAAATAACTTTGCCATATCTACTAAAGATTCTGGCTTCCTGATTAAATAAAATAATATACCTACCTTGTTGATTATAACATATTAACAATAGCAAAAATTGCAACCACAACATTTACAGCAATGTACCATATTTTTGCTCCATAAGATGCACCTGACCATAAGACACACCTAGGTTTTAGAGGCAGAAAACAGGAAGAAAAAAAAATTCTGAACTAATGGACTGCAGACATAGCACAGGGATGACCAGAGACTGCGGACAGCACAGGGATGACCAGAGACTGTGGACAGCACAGGGATGACCAGAGACTGCGGACAGTACAGGAGATGACTGCTGACCTTTGGGGAGGGGGGAGGGAGCGGGTACCTGAATTTGACAGGTACCCGCTCTTACTTCCACGGAGTTGTTCTTTGATCTTACCTGTTCCTCTATCCAGCCGCACGCTGTCTTCCCGGCTTCTGTAGTGTCGGCGCTCGGCATGAGAGCCGGGTGCCCAGTGCGCATGGGCGAGAAGCACTTGCGCTTTGTGATTGGTCCGCCGGCTTCTGGGATCTGTCATGTGTCCCAGGTACCGCCTTACCATTCATAAAAAGCACCGCTTCTTGCGCATGCGCACTTGGCACCCGGCTGTCAAGCCCAGCGCCCACACTACAGAAGCCGGGAAGACAGCGCGCCGCTGGATAGAAGAACAGGTAAGATCAAAGAACAACTCCACGGAAGTAAGAGCGGGTACCTGTCAAATTCAGGTACCCGCTCCCCACCTCCCCAAAGGTCAGCAGTCATCTCCATAAGGTCCCGCTGCAGAGCTGAGCGGCCGGCCCGGTATTCTGACACGGCGGCGGTGGAAATACCGGACCGGCCGCTCCATATTCGCTCCATAAGATGCACTGACATTTTCCCCCCTTTTTTGGGGGGAAAAAAGTGGGTCTTATGGAGCGTAAAATACGGTATATGATATGGTGGCAAAAACATTTGCTGAAGTATCTAACTGCATAATTATGTAAGGAAGCATAGGCCTTTAAGAGCTATAGAATCATCTGTTTCTTTTTTATTTTCTGGAGCCCCATGGTGCAGTGCTTATTGAAACCCCATGACCAAAAAAAGTGAACCGTGAAAGCACGACACACAGGAAAAGTGCACAAGGGTACAGAATGGCTCAACCTCCATAGAGGAGAGTCTCCAACACCTGGACCCCTTGGGGCACAAGACTCCTGACAGGAGCAAGGTACTCTGGTCCACCCTGGCCAAAGCTGTCCTTCAAGTACTTGGTGAGGGCTCTCCTGAAGACAGCCCCCCCAGTGGGGAGAGAAAGAAAAAAAGTAAGTATGTGCACGCACAGTCACACATTCAGGCGCACGCCTGTCACTAATGCTGGTGCCAAAAGGGCTATTTAAACAGGCTGCAGTTTTGTCTCATTGCTGTTTGGTCTACAGCTTCTGAGTGTGTTCTTAATTCTTGTGCCTGACCCCTGATACTGACCCGGCTTGTTTCTGATCTTCACTGGTCTGCTACCTGCCCTGACCCCGGCTTGTCTTGGATTACTAGTGGTGCCTCCTGTTCCTGCCTGATTGACCCTCCGCTGCTGACCTGGCCTGTGACCCGACTACTCTGCCATCTACCATCTATGCTTGATCTGCCTGACTGTTACTGACCCGGCTCGTCTGACCCTATATCTTCTGTCCTGATAACTGCAGCTCATCAGCCCTGCAAATCTGCATCTGGATCCTGCTTCCTGCTGCAATTCTACAACCTGCTGACAGCTGAGATCCGTGCCAGGTTATCTAGCATCAGCCTGTTCTGCTGCTTCACCTGCTGGGTGACTGCCGCTGACACACAGACACTGATCACAGGCATTCATACCTCGCCGTGCTCCTGCGGCTGCTGTCCCATTACCAGTAGCCCTC